TGATTTCGTAGTACATTTGAATGGGATATATAATATTGTCAGACTAACAACAACCTAGCGTTGTTGCTTACAGGTGACACGCAAATGTGTATGTGTAATTATTATGTTGTCTTCGCATCACGTAAAATTATATGTGGTAATATGTACACAGCGAGAATGTTAAATATTTATGTCTTCAGCTGTAATGATAGCTTACGAATTAATGGAACGTTCTTTTCTTCTCGTAAAAATAGATATCCAGAGCACCATGTTTCGATTAATTTGTTATGTACAACAGCTGCGCTTTATCCATAGCGAGGAAGTACAGATGACAGTCGCATTCGATATGTCGCCGCCGCGTGATGTTTTGCTGCTCGCAAACACATTATAACGGTGGCTGCTACTTTCAATTAACGGCAAGATTGCAGTACCCGCCGCAGCCGGTTCGCGAACGTCGAGAAACAAACGAGGAACAGAAACTGACTATTACGCCGCAAAATTTTATGCCCTGTACTCAGTCTTTCTCATGTATAATCATTATCATCGCGGCCGTCTGAGTCCCGGCTTGTGACACGCTATCTCCGGAGCCGCACTGTCTACGATTCAAAGCTAAATATCGTCTGAGATCAAACGCATTTGCCTTGCAAACTGGCATCGTGAAGAAGTTTACATTTATAATATACGAGTCTGAATAAAATCGAACGTCTTTTTATTTAGACGTGATCTTTCTGATAGAAATATAGTTCAAATGGATTCCGTCTCGAGATCTATGGGTTCTCGGTAAGTGTTTCATTACCGAGCTCAAAGATTCTCGGAGGTCCGTCTTTCAATGTAATTTTGCTTGTAGTCTCTTCTCCGCTCTCGGTAAAATAGCGATGAGCGGGGAGGGAGTAGAAAGAATCGGTACAAGAAAAACATGTGATTGTGAAAAACGCGCAACAAACAGGGACATAAAACGGAATAGAGAAAAAACGAAATGAGAATTTGTCGAAGTGACCGTGGCATAAAATTTCTCGCTGGACCACCACGGAGGCTCGAATATGACACACAATCTTGCGATACTTTCGAGAGTCCTTGGTGAATTCGTACAGAGTAAATAAAATCACAAGCGTCTTAGAAGTCCACGAGGACCTCCGGGGGTTAGAATAATACGTAAAAATGTACTTGTTTTTATGTGTATATATGTATGTATGTATGTATGTATGTATGCATCTGTATGGATGTGTATCAATGTGTGAATATATATATATATATATATATATATATATATATATGTATATATATTATTATTATTATATATA